CAATAAAACAAACCTAATCTCTTCAGAAAAGTGGACAGGCTTTCACCTACATTCACTTTTTTATTTATTTTTCCTCCATATCGTCATGCATATGATTAAGGGTTATGCTATTCGCTACAATCTTTTCCCAAACTGTCCAACTGTTCTGATGAGAATATCCTTCATGAATAATCGGATAAGCTGAGATTGAAGACATTTTTTGTAAAAATATCGATGCTTTTATCAAAGTTTTGAACCAAAAATATTTAATTTATACCTTGCCACAAGTCGTAAGTTCCAAAAAACAAGAGTTGGCTATCCGAAAAGTCAAAAAACACATGTATTCAAACCGGATGTTCTACAGTCTGAATTTAACTAAAAACCATGTTCGGTGTAACTATTATCATCCGGATAATTTGAGCGGGGTTATTTTTTTTTTAATTTCCCAAAAAAGTATTCATTTATATATAGAGAGAGAACATACATTTTAAAAAACATGATAAAAGGCGAAACGTTCCCATTTTCCTCGCTGCACATGCACCGTGCCTTTGGGGCCTCCATAATCTAAATAATTAGAAAACCATTTAATAATCAGCAAGAATTTCTCATGCATTAAAAAGCAATGATTAGCATTGTTTTCTTAGCCAAAAATCTCAAAATTGACAAAAATCTTGAAAAAAGCCTTTGGTGTATCCTTTAAGCTATATCACTGTCTCAAATCTTTTTTTTCTCTCTCTCTCTTTTCTATTCTGCAATATATACACTTAACAATTTAAAAATTAGGTATCCAACTGTTCAAAATGGCGTCAGAACAAAAGTTGTCTCCGATAGTGAAGATTTGTTGTTGCCAAATATTACAACTGTTACTATTTACCGTAAAGAGTAAAAAAAATATAGTACACTAATCCTTCATCGTTGGCCATTGCATTTATCACAGTCTTAAAGACACTGGGTGGTGAAACGCATTTTTACTTTTTCACAATTACCAGCTGCTTACACCTTCTTCTTCGTCCTTCTCGATCCTCCAAAAATGGCGCCTCGGGAAATTGACCAATGAAATAAAGCGCCTACAGAGCGATGCAGGATGGGAAAAACTAAATTGTTTACATTCCGCAGTACAGTTAAGGTGCGCAATGGAAATATCGGCTAAATTTTGTATCTAAACATGTATTCGTAATCGGGATGGCGATTATTTTAAGTACATTTTTTATATCGGATAATTGTAATTATGATTAATAACTACATATCGAGGACGATTATATTTTATATTTAGACTAGTCACGTGATACGGCAGTCACGCGATTATAGCACATTGACTTGAAGTATTGATGTTACATATAAATGTCACTAGTGCAAGGGCATAACCAAGTTAATTTTCTAAGTTTAGGATATAAATATTTTCAACAAGGATTGTTATTTCTAAAAAATGCTGCGATCCTGTCTAAATTCTGCAATTTCATTGTTAAAATTATATTTGTATGACCGAATGCTATATTTTTGCTGGACAGCGGCATGAAATATTGATATAATTAAATTGTTTTTAAGATTTCATCAGGATCGCTATAGTTGAAATGTAAAAGCTTACTTTGATCCATAGAGTGTATGCCCTTGCACTAGATCGATTTATTAAGACCCCCACATTACCCTCCGATGTACTTGGATACAAATATACGGCAGTGTCAATTAAATACGAAAAGTACAGAAAATATATTAATAAAATAGCGAAGAAGACATCAAATTCAAGTTATTGTCCCATAGAATATCTGAAAATTATATTTTATTTAAATAGAGAATACATATTTTGTTGAGAAAATATTACTTGATCTGTCTCTCACTGCATACAAACTACGTCACGTTGTAAGAAATGACGTCATATTGACAAGTGTATTGCGATCAGTGACTTGTTTATAACTTGCTATGTGGGATTTAACTAGCGACAAAACAACACGCTGTAGTACGTTTTTAAGTTTTTAAGTAGTTTAATGATTTCTTAGTGGTTAAATTACCAGATAAATTCATTTTGTGGTATTTTAACGTAGGTCGCGGGCATACCCTGAAAATTTGTTACATGGATCCCCTGATTTCATTTTATAGTTTCTGAAAATTGATAAAAATTGTCTGCACGTTTTCATGCAGCTTTGTCAAGCTTTTCAGTTATTCTAATGAATTATATAGAGAAAACGTATTTTTTAAACCCTTTTTCTGATAATACTTTTTTAATAAAAAATATTAATATCTCTTAAATGGTGCAGATTTTTTGCCCAAATCACATCGAGATTATTTGAAATAAATACATGTAAATGTACATCGTAACTTTTGATTGGCGAAAAAAGACATTTTTTAATGAATTACGCTACTAGCGCCCACGACGTCATGCTTGACGTCGCGTATATTTTCTGATTTACACTGCGTCAAAAGGAAACAAGAAATAAAATCAAGTGAATAAAGAAAGAATCTTATGTATTAATATATTTTAATAAAGTGTATAAAGATATAAAATATATTTGATCGGGATTAAGGTGGGGGGTTATCATTTAGGCACTTTACAAGTTGACATATTAAATACGTGGACAATTTGATAATAGCTGGAAGATATTTTCTATTATCTGAATACGAAAGAAGTTTTGTTTGATAATGTCATAAAAATACATGTAACCATCATACAGCTTGAAATATCGTTTAAGCATTTTATCAAATTACAAATCCAAAAATGAAAAACGTCATGCTAATCCCATTAATAGGATTCATATCCTTGTATCTACCCATACATTACATTGATATTAACTCACTCTAAATTAGGATGTTGCATGTGAAAAGTGCCGAGCTAGTTTTTCAACAGCAATACTTATTTTTTTAATTTTCCCTTTCAGTACGTCCTTAAGCCCATCTACCCCTGCTCTATTAAATGTAAGTTGCACGTGTTTCACGGACAGTCCATGCGATGCTAAGCTTGAACACTGGGTCTTCGTCAAAACATTTTGGCTTATCAACTGGTCATAGCCGTCTAAATGTTTTTGTTTGTTTTGCGCCTTTTTGATCTGAAGTGGGACATGCTCGACAGAAAATGCAGATTGTCGGAGAGAATCTGAAGCGCTGGGTATTTTCAGCAACATGTGGCGGAGTACCAGAACATCGTTAACAGCATTGTGGGCTTGGACCGGTGGCAGGTCTGTACCAAATTGTTGAACCAAATGCTGCAGCTTATAAGATGATTGACTGGGGAATGCCTTTTTGAAAACTTTAATGGAGTCGGAAAAACCAACAATACTTTTAAGATGATCGGTGATTCCGTGCCTGTTGAATGCAGATATTAAGATCCGAGAATCAAAACATGCATTGTGAGCCACGATGAGAACGGGGTCATACTTTCTCATCCACTCCACAAACTTTAACAGTGCCTCCTTTTCTCCCATGGATCGGACCGGTACCATGTCGGAGAACATGGTCAAACCATGCAGTTCGATGCCTGTCAGTTTTGAAACCGTTTTAGGGATATAACCATTTTGAGGACGTATAAAACTGGAGAAGGTGTCCTCCGTACATTTGGATGATGGAACTATCTGTCACTGAAAAAAAAACACTACTTTTTACCAAATTTATAGTAATTAAAGCTGGTAAAAAAGTTTACGTTAATCATGCAAACAAAATAGTTGCCTGCCTTGATAGTTTTAAATATTTATATATATTAATTACCTAAACCAGTGGTTTCCAGATCAGCAACAATGATACTAGATGTTTCAGGAGATAGAGGTGAAATTTTCGATGGTTGTCTTTCAGACATGGGAATTTCCGTGATAAGATCCTCTAACTCATCATTTGTCGCTGGCAATTCTATATCTGTAGCGTATGTAGTGCCTTCGCAGAGTTCCATTGTTGTCTCCGATGTTTGCCTCTGTTCCCGAAGTTTAAGACGTTCTACCTTGGCTTTGTAGGTACCTTGGAAATGGTGCTTTGTGGACCTTTTTTTTTATCCAGAAGGTTTTGTCTTTTTTCAGTTTGTTTCCCAGGAGACAGGTTGCATGCTGAATTAACCTTTTGAAGAAAAAGAAATAATGCAAAATCTTCCCCCAGCTTAAGATATTCATTTATATTGTAGATTTCATGTCTGCTGTAATATGGATTATTTCTTTTTGATTTAAAAAAAATGATTGTTAAATTTTTACACTCAAAATATATTTTGTCATGAATAATTTACATACGGGTATACATAGGTGTTTTTACTCTTTGATTAATTTGATCATTACAAAACGGTCAGCCACCCTCTTCATTTATGAAACGGGAAAATGATCCGCCCATTGCAATACATTTTATTAAAACATTAAAACAGCTTTACCTGCAAAATGTACTTGTGACCTTCGTTTTTTTGGGCAACAGCAGCGGCAACTCTGTAAGAAAGGCTCTCTGATCCTGAGTAAAGTTGAGCTTTAGGGGTCTTCTTTGCTATCATCTGATTTAAATTTTTTTTTGCGTTTGATGATCCAAGATCTATGTACTTTTCAGCTTTTTCAGCATGCTTCTGAAAAACATCCTGCAGGGCTTCTCTTAGTTTTTCTCCAACAAGATCTTTTCCCGAGGGCAGTGATTTATGTCTGTAAGTGCTTGGATCTTTAAGGAATCCACACCAACTGGAGTTACATTGACTGTGATCTCCGAATGCATGCGGAACTGTTGCATAAAGGTTTTTTCGGATCCCCTCTACGTCATTTTTGTTTTGTTGAATTGTATACGCAAAACATTTCTTGAAGTATTTTATGGTTTTCACAGAAAGACCTCCATGGGTTTCTTTGACCTTATATAATGCGTTGGACAAATTCCGGACTACGTGGTTTTTATCGCTACTTTTTGTAATGTTTGGTACTGCCTTTTTAGTTCTCAAAAATGTAGTGCTGTCGTCATCCATGATAAGTTTTCGTACATCCAGGCCTTTTTCTTTCAAAGACTTGATGCACTTCACGGTTAGGAAAGGTTCCATGCCTTTAGCTGAACCGCTCCAGTTTTTTCTACAGCTGTGAGATTTACATAAACCTCTTCCTCTCTTTCGATACTGGCATTTTCTACAAGACTTGCACGCCACACCATAAGAAAGGCACTTTTTTGTACTCTTCCCAACAACCGTTACATGTCCTTCAAAAAAAGTTATATCAAGCATTTAAATATGTTAGTGTGAGTTTATTGAAAAGGTATATAACAAGAGGCCCATGGGCCACATCGCTCACCTGAGAAGCTTTGACCATTCTGTTCTTTAAATTTCCCCCTTGTAATACATTATGTATCCCCATATGATCATAATTAAGACATTTTGAAATCAACTACCCCAAGATCCTTCCATGTGCAAATAAGTTTCAGCTTTTCTGGCCCAGTGGTTCGTGAGAAGAAGATTTTCAGAGATTTTTCCTATATATTTTTATGTAAAACTTTGATCCCCCCATTGTGGATCCGCCCTACCCCTGGGGGTCATGATTTTAACAATTTAATATCTATACTACCCGAGGATGCTTCCATATGAGTTTCAGATTTTGAGGCCCGGTGGTTCTTGAGAAGAAGATTTTTAAAGATTTGTTCTATATATTTCTATGTAAAACTTGGATTCCCTATTGTAGCCCCACCCTTCCCCCCGGGGGTCATGATTTAATTTAGAATCTACACTATACCAGGAAATAAGTTTCAGCATTTCTGTAAGAAAAGATTTTCCAAGATTTTTCCTATATATTTATATGTAAAACTTTGATTCCCCATTGTTGCCCCGCCCTTCCCCCGGGGGTCATGATTTGAACAATTTAGAATCTACACTACCCAAGAATGCTTCCACATAAGTTTCAACTTTTCTGGCACAGTGGTTTTTAAGCGGAAGATTTTCCAAGATTTTTCCTATATATTTCTATGTAAAACTTTGATTCCCCATTGTGGCCCCGCCCTTCCCCCGGGGGTCATGATTTTTACAATTTAGAATCTACACTATCCCAGGATGCTTCCACATAAGTTTCAACTTTTCTGGCATAGTGGTTTTTAAGAGGAAGATTTTCCAAGACTTTTCCTATATATTTCTATGTAAAACTTTGATTCCCCATTGTGGCCCCGCCCTTCCCCCGAGGGTCATGATTTTTACTATTTAGAATCTACACTATCCCAGGATGCTTCCACATAAGTTTCAACTTTTCTGGCCCAGTAGTTCTTGAGAAGAAGATTTTCCAAGATTTTTCCTATATATTTCTATGTAAAACTTTGATTCCCCATTGTGGCCCCGCCCTTCCCCCGGGGGTCATGATTTGAACAATTTAATATCTACACTACCCTAGGATGCTTTCACGTAAGTTTCAGCTTTTCTAGCCCAGTAGTTCTTGAGAAGAAGATTTTCCAAGATTTTTCCTATATATTTCTATGTAAAACTTTGATTCCCCATTGTGGCCCCGCCCTTCCCCCGGGGGTCATGATTTTTACAATTTAATATCTACACTACCCTAGGATGCTTTCACAAATTTTTTAGCTTTTCTGGCCCAGTAGTTCTTGAGAAGAAGATTTTCCAAGATTTTTCCTATATATTTCTATGTAAAACTTTGATTCCCCATTGTGGCCCCGCCCTTCCCCCGGGGGTCATGATTTTTACAATTTAATATCTACACTACCCTAGGATGCTTTCACATAAGTTTCAGCATTTCTGGCCCAGTGGTTCTTGAGAAGAAGATTTTTTAATGACCCCACCCTATTTTTGTCTTTTCTTGATTATCTCCCCTTGCGAGGTGATTTGTAACTTTATTTTTACAATTTAAATTTTCCTTCACCCAAGAATGCTTTGTACCAAGTTTGGTCAATATTGGCCCAGTGGTTCTTGAGAAGAAGTCGAAAATGTGAAAAGTTTACAGACGGACAGACAGACAGACAGACGGACGGACGACGGACAAAATGTGATCAGAAAAGCTCACTTGAGCCTTCGGCTCAGGTGAGCTAAAAACAGTTTAAATGAAGTGATTAAATGTTCCTTATATCTTTTCTTATATTTTAGGCAAATAAATAAAACATAAATATATTAATAAAATATAATGTTTCACTTTGAAATTGGTAAAAAATTAAGCATCAATATTTAAGATTTTTGTCGTTTTTAACAATAAACACACAAAAAGCTTTGGTAGGAATTTGTTAAATAATAGTCCATATAAACTGTCAAAAGTAATCTTTGTGTCACAGGGGGGGGGGGGGTTAAAATATTTTCCGTTTTTCGTTTATTTCTATAGTCAGTGAAAAATACAAGTTTTACCATTTTTAGAGTTATCTCTCTTTGTATTAACAAGAGAAGTAGCAGACAAAAGATGGGTACCCTAAAGCATAACGAAACGACGGACACCCCCATCACTATAAACCGATGTTTATTATATGTTAAAATTGACATATTGAAAGGTACTCTCTATGGTCTATGACAAGAAAATTCATACAAGTACATGTATTTAGAAAGCAAGTTGGAGGGGTGGTGGTTGTATTGCTAAACACCGCCTTTTGATTATCAAGTACATGTATTGACTTTAATTTCATATTTAACAGATAAACTATTATAATTGCGTCCTGTTCCTCTTTTCTGCCAGCCACCGTCGCATGAAACCTCTGCACCCTCGCTGCAACTTAGATCTGGAGCGTCTCCGCTGATGAAGAATTTTTTTTTTCGATTAACTTTTGAAAATGCATGACATGATTACATGTATCATGGAGAATAAATTTTAGAAATTTAACCCCTTTTTACATATATAGTTAATATTATAAAAGAATTTCCCCAGTAGTGATTTTTTGATTTTAGGCAATTTTTTTTGGGGGGGGGGGGTGTTAAAGTATTTTGAATGTGTTAAGTAAATATACCTATTAGAACAAATGATTTCAGCCTGTATTGCAGCATTACAAGAATTCTCTGCGATATCCTCCATAACACATCCTATTTCTCTTTCCCGTTCTTTTAGAGTTTTGTGGTGAATAGAGGGAAGGTTAAGCTCTGCGAGGATATTGTTAACCTGCTGTTCACCAATACCAGCATGCAGCATTGCTATAGTATCAAAAGTAATCATCCCCCATTAACACCTGTCCAAAAAACTAATATTTTTCTTTTTTACCGGTATCTCTTTTAAATGGTTGACAATTTTTTAAAAACTGTTTTTTTATTTATTTATTATTATTTTAGTCTTGTAAATACGTATTAAAAGTAAGTTTTAAATCTGTTGTAAACAGCACTATTAATACGCATTAAAGTCATATTGTTAGGGGGAGGGTTACCTGCAGCAAGCTTTGTATTAACGTCAAAGCATCTAGGCGGTCCTTTCCCATCCACATTCGTTGTGTGTCTCTTACCGGTAGGCACTGAATTCAAGTTGTTGCATTTTACACATTTTACGTACAGAATAGACGCCAATCCATACTTTGTCTCGTCAACACAAGCATCTAATCTTAAGTTGTCTTTGCAGAAAACGCACTCCTTCAAACCTTGAGCCAATACGCTTAGCTCTACTATTCTTCTCCCCTCGGTCCAGGAATCATTTTTGTCTTTTTGTTCATCTGTGCCTTTTTGCTCCTTCTTTCCATCATTTACGGAAGTGTTTTCCTTTCGTTTTAAATTTTCCAAGCGATTTTGCTTTCGCACAGAAATAAATTTTCCCTTGTGCTTCATGGCACCGAGCCGTTTTTCATTTATGACGTTTACATATTTTAAAAATGACGTAGGCTTATAAAATTTGCGCCAAATCTTTCAATATATTTTGTTCGAATTTTTATTTTGTAAAAAAGAAATACTCAGTAATGTTTACCTCTAATTTATTGTCATGATGAATATGTGTGTAGTTGTTAAATTTTATTTATGAATTCTATATTTGTGTTCAATAAAAGATTTTATTTCATCGAGACAATGAAAAAATAACGCCTCAATTCATCATGTGCACATTCTAACACAACCACTAATAGATCGACCGCTGTGACCGATAATAAGAATAACTTGAGAAAAAAATTATATATGTCGCTCGTATATAATATATATATTTGTAAATTTATAAATTCAAACGTCTCTCTCTCTCTTTTTTTTTTCTTGTTCTCTCACTGAAGGCAGAACAGTGAGGATCCAAGGGCTTACAGGCGAACATTAATATAGACTGATGCTTATAAACCAAAATAGGAATTTTTTATTGCAAAACACTAGCCCTTGTTGCTATGAGTTATCAACAGTACTTTCGGTATCAATGTATATAAATTTTTTTTTTCAATTAACTACGGTTGTATTGATTCGATAGCTGGAATTAAAAAAAAAATATTTTTTTTTCATTATAAAATATATTTCTTACATTTTAATTTATTTTGCATACTGAAAATCATTATTTAAAACTTTTGCTTCCTAAAATGTGACGTCATAATCAGATGTGCACAAGAAAGTCGCCCAAATCATATAAATTGCGTACCCAGTTTTAATGACGTCAGCAACCCCGCGACCTACGTTAAAGAAATGTTGTATGACGTATATTGTGTATGATGTCATAGTCAAGTTTTCCCGTACAAATTAGGCTCCGCCTCCTTTTTGTAACCTTAACTGTGCTGTGTCACTATGATTAAGTTTGATTATGAGATCTTATATTAGAATTTAATTAAGTTTTCCCCTTTTCATGGAATAAAAAGAGGGGCTCCTAAATATTTTTGCCGATATGATGTGTAGGCCTAGTATATTTAGAAAAAAAAGCGGTTAAGTACATGAGGCAAGAGCAGAAAAAAATTGTTTCTTGCTTGACACCTCAACTTATTTGCCTTCAGGATATGGGTTTCCGGGCTTGGTTGTTGGTAGTGGCCGTCATTGCTGAAAGTACCCCCCTCTCCCCGCTTCTTTAACTGTTCCATGAATGATTATGAATTTATAATGTCACACCAAAAGATGTTAAATTTTTAAAAGCACAAAAAGTCATTTTTTTTATTGTGAACTTTCCACAGGAATCCTAAAAGGCATGAAAATGAGCTACACTTATAATATGATTATCAAGAACAGTTTCTTTTATTTCAATAGTGATGATTGAAAAGTTCGGTGATTAATAATTCATTGCTAATAAATTGTTGTGTTTTTTTGGGGGGGTTAAATTACTAATTGAACTCCCTCCTTTTCGGGGTTTAATTAGATTTTGAGCCTGCTATCAATATAACTGGTGGACCTGCTAGACTTTTCTCTAATTGCTACATGTACATTGTTCTTTAAACTCCTTGGCCTTTAGCTAAAAAAATTCCCACATCATTTTAACACGTAAAATTGTTAAATGAATCAGAATGTTGAAAACCTTTTTCTTAGGATCTCTAGGTGGAACAAAACTAACATCTTATCAAAGGCAGGAAAATATAACAGTATTTTAATTCAGTATTTTAGTCGTGATTGGTATATTAAGTGAAGTCATGGGAAAGATTATGTCGAAAGTCATCTATACTCGTCGATGTGCAGGGATGTACTTATGCATACAGCTTTAGCTGGTCCCGCCCTGTATTTCTTTAATGTTTTTTTTTTGTTAAGAAATCTGGTAAGGTATGCTAGTAAAAATAAAATCCCGGTTAGTTTATTACTCTAACGGAAATTACTTTCCTACAGGCCTGAAGATCGAGTCTATTAGTCACGCAATTTTTTTTAAAAAGAGTAGCATGTCGGCGAATAAAAATAAAGTAGTGTACAACATAGATAAATGAATGTTTGTTGAAGTATTGACAAACTTCATACCTTTATAGAGTGAAATCAACAAAAACTGCACAAAAATACAATCGTGACAATTATACAATGAATTAATTATACAATTAATTCTTTTAATACATTGCCTTAGCATGGACTACTTTAAAAGCCATTGTTCTTGAGGAAAACAAAATCATGCAAAATATTATAGACTTAATTTTCTTTATCTACAGCTATGGCCTTTGGAGAAAAAAAATGGCTGAAAATTTTAAAGTTTGTTAAATATAATGTATGTGCATTTAGGACCCTACATTGTAATTTCATACGAAAAGTGCAGGCGTTTACTACACGGGGATCTGCGTACATATTTAAACAAAAAAAAAAAAGGAAAGAAAAAAAAAAACGTTTTATGTGATGAATTATATTATAAACATTTATCTAATAAATGTCTCTGTAGTACGTTAGATTACAAATTTCACACAAAAACCCATCAATAATATTAAATACAGTTTTGATTTCACATTGATCTATTAACGTCATTCTGCTTTAATATAATTATACACGACGAGAATTAAGATCTATTCAATACCTATAGAAATTAAATTATTTAATTTCTAAAGAGGATAGTTTTATTTTAAATCAGTAATGAAAATTGAAATAAAAATTCCAAATAGTTTGTTCTTTCATTGAACTTCTTAAATGTAGGTTATTTTATAAATATGTTCTCTTGTATAACTTTATTTATGGAATATACAATTTTTTAAATGATAAAAGAAACACGAATCACCATCTTAATTTAAAAAAATTTTCGGTCGGAGACTGTGTGTGTACATGCTCGACAACAGCCCATTGTTCCCTTTAGGTACAAAACCGTCTCAATTCACATAGAATATACAAAAAATACACAGTGAAAGGTGTCTTCGCGGCACGTGTCTCCACCTGAAATGGCACGTGAGGGCAGGTGTCCCTAATTACACAGGCCGACCATAGTGAATTTTTCAAAAGCGTTTTTTTTTTGGTGAGGTTTGGGGGCTTCTCAAGGAAAAAATGAAAAGCAACCCACCCACCCCCAATAATAAAAATAATAATTTAATAAATTAAAAAAAAAACAATATTCACTATTAATAGTAAAATACTAGTATGATAATACTCAACCCCCAGACAATTGGATGAATGATTCTTATCTTACCAGTTTATATTAATATATTAATTCATATTAAAACAAAATCTTTATCACTTTCTAAACTTGTATTTAAAAACTTGAAACACTAAAAATGTAATTTTGACAAACCAACTGAAGAATTTTTTTCCTGACGGATTACCCCGGTATATAAGAAATGCCAACCTCTGGTATCTAACACAAATGCCTGGTAAGGTGACTTGATGTCTTGTGAATACATGTAATTATGTAAAAATAATTCTTCAATGTCAATTGCAAAATATTGGGAAAAAAAATATAATTATTTTATTGAGGAACGTCTCACCTGTCCTTAATCAGTAATTGTAACTTGACATATTATCTGTATTTACTTTTTAATCGATCTTTTTAGTAAACCTTTTCTGTAAATAATTTCATTAAATGTACCCTTCCTTGGCTCTTCCATTTTTTCAAAGGAACATTCATCATAGACAGCTTCAAGAAAGTGGGATCGGAAATGATTAATTTCTACATAACTGCATGGACTTACCTTTTTCTATTCCACTTCACGCATTCTATACGAGTTTACCAAAACTTATGTGATAAATCAAATTGAAAATTAAATTAAATAAAATTCAGTTAAATAAAATAAAATAAAATTAAAACTGAATTGCGTTCACGGTGCTGAAATATTAAATTAATCACACAGAAATACACAAGTCATCTAGTTATTTTAACTGTTTGAAGTTAATTATTTTGATACAGCATGTAAACACTTTTGAAATATTTCTATAATTGGTAAAAATATGGTATCATAATTAAATATTTAACTTTTTGTAAAATAAAAGGTTAGGTGGGTTAGTATTGAGATATACTTTTAAAGTTTCCCTGCCTGGGAAACATGGGGAAAACTACACATTGGTGGCTTCCATGTCGGGAATCTGTATGGAAACCACTGAGGCATGTTTACATGGTTTCCTATCTTGGGAAACTTACGGGAAACCACAGGTTGGTTGTTTCCATATCGGGAATCTACATGGAAACCACCGGGGCATGTTTCCATGGTTTCCTATCTTGGGAAACTTACGGGAAACCACAGGTTGATTGTTTCCATGTCGGGAATCTATGTGGAAACCACCGGGGTATGTTTCCATGGTTTCCTATCTTGGGAAACTTACGGGAAACCACAGGTTGATTGTTTCCATGTCGTGAATCTATGTGGAAACCACTATGTGGTTTCCATAAAATGGAAACTATATGGAAACTACTGATGTCACGATTGCCATATGTTTCCACAGGGAAACCTGGCTTTTCATCCTGTGATCAGTATTAAAAGTGGACGATAGAAACTTTGAGGAATATTTAAACTTTCATTCTGATGGTGTACATATAGCTCTTCGGCTCAAGTTCTCTCTTACAAATTTAAATAAATACATAAACACATAAAGCCCTGATAAAAAGAACAACAATTTTAATTGGGAAAACATTACATTTATAAAATTGTTCATGAATCACTTTGAACTAATAACTCATAAAGAATTACACTTAATACTGAGTATTCAAATAAAAAAATTAATACATAGAAAACGTCGGTGTTATTTCAACTATAACTTGAAAACGAGTATTATTTCAAATTACAGTGAAATAAAAATCTTTAGAAAATATGACAATTACAACCAAATAAAAATCTTAAAATAATTCAACTATATACATAATAAATTGAAAGTATAAAAGATTGGTTTTTAAGACTTATCCGCATAAGTAACCTTTCGTGGCATCTCCATCCTAATGTTATTTAAATAGAATATCTCCATCAATTCGTGTTCGTATTAATTAAACCGCATTCACTGGGCAATAAGATAAGAGTAATATTTCTAATAAAGTACAAGTTGCTGCATAAATCCTATCATGTCTTTTCGCGAAATTGTATTTTTTATATTTTGAAACGTTCAAATTTCAAGAATTGTACATGTTCAAAAGACCAAATTAGAGGCTGTGTAATTTCATTTTAGACAGATCACCCACGTGGTGCAGTGGTGAAGGAGTGCGCTCTAGAAGCGCAAAGAAAGGAACTGATCCTAGCGTCGCGGGTTTGAATCCCACCGTGGGTCGTGGAGACGGGTCCATCGAATGAGACCGTATAAATCGA